AATCATTTTGCATGAACATTTTATTCATTTATTTAACAAATATTTATTGTGTGTATGAATCCCAAGGATTGATCTAAGTGGTGGAGATATAATTGTGAACACGAGGGATAAATTCTCAGCCCTTGTGGAAATAAGATATTAGCAGGGCATATATTCAAAACAAGGAAACTGACAAATATATAAACAAAGCATGCGTAATGTCCTGTTAGGGTAGACTAGGTGGTTGTTATGGTAAGTCACCCTAATAATCTCAATAGCATAATAAAACAAAGGTTTATTTCTTGTCCTTAATTGTCAAAAGCTATCCTCAGCTTTCCAAAATTCTTCTTTCTATAGTTCCTTCACATCAGCACATGCATCCATGAGAGAAGGGACTAGAGATTCAAGCAGCAACAACTAAGAGCATGTACTAGAATCACTCCTGCTTTGCATTGCATTGGCAATAGCAAGTTACATGATCATGACTACCCCAGTGAAGCAGAGAAGTGAGTCTGGAGAATCCTGGTGGTAAAGATGTACCAGCTGTGCCTACCACAATGTTAGGTGCCATTGAAAATATGCATAAAGACCGAGAGCATAGCGTGCGTTTTTTAAAGAGGAAGAGAAGCAAAAAAATGCATGACCTTTCATGCATATTATTGCTTAGAATTATAATAAACTACTTCAGAAAAAAACTGAGTCAATTTAAAGAAAATTATGACTAATTTTAACAACTGGTGTTCAGATATGAGGAAATACATTAAGGTCATTTTATGAATTGATAGATATTATGTTGTTATCTAATCAAGGACAAAGCTGGTAATATTTATATTGGTATCATGATTGTTTAGTGACATAGTAGATGCTCAGTAGAACTTTGTTGAAGGTAATAATAATCATCATATTAAATTATTCTTGCTTTTGCACTTGATGAACAGTCTTGAAATATAATCTATTGTAATTTTGTTCTGAGACTTGAAACTTTTTTCCAAGGCCAATTTGTATTGTCTTTATAGTAATATTTTTATATTCAATTATAGTTTAAATTTGGAACACACATGCCAAGTTGAATCAATAGTAGTCTCTTTTACCTAATTTGTCACATGAATTTTCTTAAACTATTGGTTAAATATCTAGGAGGAGTAAAAGAAGTTATAACAGAACATTAATGTTGAGATATGTAATCTACTATCTTGCCTGTTTTTAAAACCATCTTTTATGTTTAATACGTCTTTGAAAATGACTGTGTTGGAAAGGGATTTCACAAATTTTAATCCAGTGGGCAGGAAATGCCAAAAAAAAATTAAAACAATTATTCAAGGTCATGAGTATCTTTCCTGCAGATAGAATAACATACTTGTTTTCAAAGATAGTATGATTATGTGTTTTCCTTTATCTCTACTGTTCTTTTCTTTTGCTTTTGACTAAGCCTTTGTAATTAAAAGTAATAAATTCTCCCAAAGAGAGAATCCAGCTATCCTCTGATTGGATAGGTGAAGGGGAAACATTTAAAGCTCCCAGACCCTCATTTCAAAACCATCACTTCTCCACCTCTGAATGGCACGTGTGAAACATAGTCTCAAACTTGTCTTAGAGGACTGTCTCTCCAGTTTGTGCTGTGAATCACCAGCCTCTCCAGGAGTCACACCTTTGAAGGGGTTTACTCCTCTTGGAGTTGTACAAAATGAGTTGATTAGTTGGCAGGTGGGACACAGCTGGCTTCAGATTCAGTGTGTGCCTTAAACTAGTTACCTCCTACCTTAATTTGATCATTTAAATGGGAAGTGCAACTGCTTCAACAGAACAGAGATGATATAAAAACTATTTCTGACATGAGTATCTTGCCACCTGAATTGCCATGGCTACTCATATCTCTGTGGGGGAAAATAAATAAATAAATAAATAAAACACAGGGTTTACAATTCTTATGAGTGGTAAACTGCCTTTGAATTATTTAAGAAAAGCTTTAAATGCTCAATGAATGTTCTTAGGCTAATGACAATTGATGCCCAGAACATAACAATAATCTACTGAAATAGAATACCATTTTGGAAAGTAGCAATTTGTGTAGAAATTGCTGATAGCATCAACACATGCTGGGAATTTTACATATAAGTGGACTATAGTGTGGGCTGAGGAGTTATTTATTTGACCTTTCATTTGTAAATAAAACAGTATTCCTTTCTCTTCAAGAAGTATCTAGACCAGTTATTAAAAAAAAAAAATACTGATGTCCTTTGTCAATAGAAACAAAACTGGCAGAAATCATCTAGGATTCAGATCTTATAGGTCTGAAGATGTGGAGGAATCGCAACTGGTTATTGAGAAAGACAGCATTCCATAATTTAAGATAATTAGATCTAGAGATAGAGTATTTGGATTGACTCTGTCCTGTACTACTCACTGTCACTAATTTAGCTTTGCATTCCAAGTTCTCAATCAGCCTTACGTGATCTGGCCCCTGGGTTCTTCTCCAGTCGAGTTTTATTGTCTTACTCCTCCCTGTTCTACTCCCCCCACTGCACCATTCCTCATGCATTCCCAAGACATTCTTGCTGCTAAACTTTCTGGACTTGCTGTTCCCTTTGCCAGAGATGCTTTTCCCCTGAATACAGACCGACAGTTTCTGAGTCAAAGCAATGCCCTGAGGTCTACATGTTTATCTCGGTGCGTTCTCATGATAATGGCTTGAAGCTGGTCTTGAGGTGACATTTGACAGATGAGGAAATAGGGGCAGGGTTGGAGCACAGGCAGGACTGGGGCCAAAGCTGTGCTGGGGCGGCCCAGCCTCGCACACTGAGTATGTCACAGCACCCGGCAACCAGGGCAGGGCTAACAACTTCCTTTCACACCGGAGCTCTTCCTCCCAGAACCTTCCTTGATTATCCTATGTAAAGTAGAATCCATATGACTGCTTCTCTTCTTCAGCTTTATATTTCGTAGCTGCCACCTGCTCTTATACCCCCTGTATACTGGCTGGTTTCTTTGTTTACCTCCCCCATTAGAATACATACTCGGTGAGGAAGACTCTTCTTCTGATCTGCACATCACTATCTGCCTGCACCAGAAAGGTACTTGTGTCCCCAGAGGACACAGGTCAGGTTAGAATTGTTTGTCATGTTTAAGATGTCTTACTGTTCACACATTAATGAGCACCATTTTGCACCAGACTCCACGACAGTTTTTGGACCTATAAAGGTACATGATGGGGCCGAAGAAACGGAATTAACCAGCACTTATGGTAGGAGAAGCATTTTACTAGGGCTCAGATGGTGTAGCAAGGAAGGTAGGGCTCAGGAGAGGCTACCCCATCCAATCTCCACGCTGAGACCTGGCGGCTGGGCTGAAGGGCCAGGAGCACACTCCAGACAGGGGAGAGAAAGTTTGCATGTGAGAGCACATTCCAGCTCTAAAAGCTGTTCTGAATGGCAAAGCTGTAATGTACAAGGGACAGTTTACCTTCTGAGTCTGGGGAAGGAAGCTGGGCTTCAAGTGTCTTGAAAACAATCCCAAGAATCAGGGCTCTGATCATGCTCTCTCATGCGAGCTCTGATATTCTATAGAATGATTTTTAGATGGATATAATTTTTATTCAGTGTCTGATTTGGTGTAGCACCTCCAGCCATGTAAGTTGACAATATTTTCATTTTCTAGATGGGACAACTGAGGCCCAGAACAACACATTTCAGCCTCCTAGGAGTTGATTTAATTTTCTCAATTATAGTGCTATCAGGACTCCTAATTCTTACCCTTCTAAATGTTGTTCTTGTCAAAATCCAAATATAAAACTGTTTATCCACCATCCTTATCTTTTTTCAAGAAACACTCATGCACTTGTACAGCTTTGAAAAAACAGACCCCTGAGAGGGAGCCAGTTGCCTCAGGGTGGTGGGGCCCGTAGCAGGATGGACACCATATTATACATTGAGCTCAAGTTTCTGCTCTTCTGGGTGAGGACACTAGATTTGGACCAGGAAGCTTTTATCTGAATAGGTGACTCTGGGACTTGATGGAATAGAGCCAACTTGACAAAGTAGAGTGGATCTCAATATTGGCCTGCCCATGCTTTGTGCATGCGTGAGCACTCCCCAGCAAAACACAGCTGGCACATCTAATTTTAGCTTGCCCGCCTTGAAAAGGGACCCTTTAAGGAACTATATTTTCTCTAAAATAATTTGTATTATAATGTAGCAGCTGATAAACATGTCAGAATATTTCTTATTATTGGTGGGGAAAAATTTTGCCAAGTAATTATGATTTTTGTTCTTTGTGTGTGTGTGTGTGTGTGTGTGTGTGTGCGCGCGCATGTGTGTGTGATGATCAGTAAAGTGATTAAAGCATCCATGAATCCAAATTATCATAAAGAGCTAGACTATGAGAGAACAGAGATTTTATTTAGAAAGAACCTATTTAGAATAAACCTCAGAGCACATGTCTTTTAATTTTTACAAAATGGATGGAAATGATAAGAATGATTATTTCTGCCATAATAAGTTGGTCATTGTGATCTGACCATGTGTGGTTGTTGGGGAGTAGACTCAAAAAATGTCTTTAACACATAGCATCCTCCATGTCCTCCAAGAAGTAAAATGTTAGTTTCTAAACCAGGTCTTGGATTCATGCGGCTTTAGTGTGCTAACAGGTTTAGAAAGCATCTGGGACACACTTTTTTCTATTTTAACCAGCAAGGTTATTCTCCCTGTCTTTTTTCTTTCTTTATTTCTCTTCCATTTTCCTTGCTTCCTCTCTTCCCTCCCATGATCTCCTGTGTTTTGTTTAGCACCATGGCTTACCTTGAAACTTGGCAAGAAGAGAAGAGATCGTGGGCTCCTGTGGGGTAAATAGAGGAGAGGATAAAAAATAACCCACTGCCTGCATTTGAGTTCCCCGGGTTCAGTTCTAGCGACAGCAGCTTTACTGCAAAAATCGCTTTGCTATTCGAGATAGCCAGCAGAGGGAATCGGAACTTTGCTTGCAGCAGGGGTTGAAGCAGCCTTTTTTTTTTTTTTTTCTTGGAGGAAATACTGCAGCTTTCTCGACTGCGTACGCTGCTCCCTGGAGAGGCTCTCTGGGTTCCACCCACCGGCTAGAAGGAGGGGAAGTGAATGAAAGGACAGGACAAGCCCCGAACACCATGTCACTCTGGGAGGGAGACAGCAGCAACTAAGCTGTGCAAGGTTTCTTTTTTTTTTTTTTTCTTTTTCTTTCCCCTTTTCTTTTTCTTTTCTTTCTTTCTTTTCTTCTTCTTCTTTTTTTTTTGCTTTTTTCTTCTTTCTTTCCTTTTCTTTCTTTCTTTGTTTTCTCCTTTTCTTTAAGGTGGGGAAAGAGACAGACAGGAGACAGGAAGCTGATCTGCAAAGATTCGGAGTTGTGCTGAAAGGACTTTGATTTTTTTTTTTCCTTTACAAACGCTGGCAATTGACATCGCTTACAGACAACCTGGTTAGAGAACCAACTGCCTCATCCCAAGTGGACCCCGGCAGCTGAGGGAAGGCAGGCCAGATCTGGGGAGGCTGTGTGTGGGGCTTTTTTTCCTACCGATCCCCCCGCCCCCCTTTTTTTCCCCCTGGTGTGTTTCTTTTTTAAATTCTTGCTGTGTTGGAACTAGCGAGTGGTGGAAGACAAGGAATCTCTGAAGCCTCATCAGTCATCGGGACTGTCAGGAATAGTGGTTTCAGAGGAAGCTCGGCCTGGGGCGCTATACCCTGTCATCCAGTTCCCTGCCTCGGAGATAAAGATTCCAGCTACATGGGCAAACGCTTGGATCAGCCACAAATGTACCCCCAGTACACTTACTACTATCCTCATTATCTCCAAACCAAGGTATGACTTGACCCACGGTCTGGCAATCAGTGTGGTTTCCTTCTGCACTTGGGATGGGAAACAGACAGGCATGTGAATTATTATTTAACCCTCCACCCCCATCAACCTCTTCCTGCTTCTTTGAAATTAGTAACATACCAATGGAGTTAATGAGGCAGAGGAGAATATAAGAAGTGTGCAGCCTCAGAACTGAGGCTTTCTCTGTAAGGAGAGATAATAGTTTCACTGGAGTTCCTTTGTTGTTATTTGGCAGTATAAACGTTCCTGATAGCCGTAAAGCCCTTTGCAGATGGGCAGGGTTGTTACAGAGGAGATCACAACAGTGATTATCGGGCACAAGAATACAATTTCAGGGGCTTTTCTGGTGAAATGCTCTTTGTTTGTGGCTCTGAAAGGGCTTTTCCCTCTGGATAGGACATGCCAGGGTGGGGGCTGACTCAAACTTTTAATCGCTGAGAGCATGAGAGGAGGCTCTGAGCAGGCACAGGAGAGCTAACTAAAGTCTCTTGGAGTTTGTTTGGGTGTGTTTTTATTTTTCTGTTTGCCTTAAAAATTTTACTTTAGATCTAGGATGTTTAGGGTGCGCACGGTGGGATTTTCAAGCTTTGCTTTCAGAATAGATGGCCTTTACTTTTAGACGCTCTGTTTTGCTGTACTCATTGCCATCAGGAGGCCTGGGTCTTGAGAACGGATCGATGTAGCTGATGAAAAGTGGATGTGAATCGGTTAAATACTTTAGGTTTTATGTGTGTGCTCTGATGGTCATTAGGGGCCAGTGGCAAACCCACAGAACTGAGCAGTGGGCAGTGCCAGCCGTGAACTTTATCCTGTAGTTCAGCCATGAAAGACTCAGGTGTGAAATCACAACTCCAATTTGTCAATTAAATTGGACTTGATGGGGGGAGGGCTATTGATAGAGCTACCACCTTGAATGCATGGATTATATTTCTTTATGGATGATATTATTTTGTATCGCATTAGCCAGACTCCAGTGTCTTCTAATAAATAAATATGCTGAGAGTGAACAAGGCGTGCCTGAGTGATCTGTGCTGTCACCAGGACTCGTTGATGTGATTAGGGTTTGGTAATTCATGCTGTAGTTATCTCTCATTTATTCTGTCTCATCAAACAATGCCTATTAGTAAACCAGACAAGGCAGCAGACGTTTCATATTATAGTAAAGATTGTTGCTTTTTTCCCCTTTCTTTTTCTATAGCTCTGATTCACCCTGCCCCTCCAAGGTCGACTCACATTGCTTTTTGCCTTTGTGAGCATTTAGTTTGTGCTGCTGCTGCTTAAATAGACCAGCCCTCCTGCTCCAGTGCCTTGAGTTTTAACTCTTTGGGGGATTGGATAGCGAATGTCACCTGCCTTCCTGAAGGAAATGGCAAAGCAAGGACAAGTTAAAAGGGGGAAATTTATAGTCATTACTCACTCCCCCCACCAGGAAACAAAAATAACAAACTTAAGGGTTGCATGAAAAAATATCAGACATTCCATCCCCTTTACTCATTTGGATAAGTTTTTCCAAATGTTTCAAAATTCACGCTTTCTTTTTTGGTCTTTCTTTTCTCCCATGAAGTATATTCAGGGAAGAAACTTTAGGTTGAAATGAATAGTTTTTGCTTTTCTGTTTGCATTTCTTTTAACTATTGTTAGGAAGGAATAATGTCCTCTACATTAGGTTAAAGACATAGGACTCTGGATGAGCAACCCCGGTGAAAAATATATGTGTGTGTGTGGGGGGGGTGTATTTGGGGTAAAGGATGTGTGCATTTGGGGTAAAGAGGGAAGGAAGGTGGTGGGAGGAGTGAGAGAAAAGAGGACAGCCTAACAAATATAGAGGGGATATTAAAACAAAACAAAACAAAAAACCTGTTTGGGATCCTATGTAGTTTAGTGTTGTGTAGACAGACAGCATCTGGATCTGGTTACTTTCAAGCTAGTCAGAGCCATCAACTTCTGGAACATTTTTAGAAGTTATATCCATTAGGCAACCTAAGCTGATACTTGGGTAATCAGATCAGGGTGGCAGGGAATTTAAGACCAGCTACTTTGGCTATCCTGGTAGCTCACATTGACAATTAGGTTGTAAAATTTCGGCAGTGCTGTGAAGTTATCGAATATTGTTACAGCAGCTCTGAAATGACAGACGTTAATAATATTCCTGGAAGTGGAAGATGTGAAAACGTGCCCTGTTTTGGAACTTGGGTGCACAAGGCAAGGGAGAAAGGGTCAATGTGCAATTATATTTGAAAAAGTGGGGAACGTTCTGACAGCATCTGTATTGCAGAATAAAGAACTGACATGCCTCACTATAAACACGAAATCTATTGGGTTATTTCAGTATCACTTTTATAATTATATCTCAAAATATAGTCTATGATACTTTTGATGGAAACACATGGTTGCTTATATTTCTTTGGTAGACCTAGATGGAATTCATGAAGTCCACGGTCTTTTTAGACTTGACCTATGATTAAAATCCAATTTAAATAAATGGTCACATCCAATAAATATCATAACTATTTAAGTTGATAATGATTATATAAAGAACACTTATAGTTCATAAAATAGAATTGTGTGATTTTCAGCAAAACATATTCGGTGCTATCATATTAAGCTGTTCTTTAAATTCAGGTGCTTTTTAACCGTTTCATAAAAGCTATTTGCTGACATTTGTTTTGGGTAGAAAGTCTTCATGGAATCTTAAAGGGCTGAAATGTTTGCTGTCATATACATTAAGAAATGCAAAAATAATTCCTTTTTCTAAATTAAATATATACATATTATATCTATTAGCTATTTTCTTAAGATAAAGCAAAATCAAAATGGAATTTTGAAGTAAATGCAAATATTTTCCATTCCCTACAGTGCATATTAAAGTTTCAGAAAAACTTATGACACTTTCCTGACTTCTCTGCTGCTTTTATTTCTCATGACATTAAAACCAATCACTTAACTTTGTGGCTTGAAAAGAAAAAAAAATGAAAATAAGATATTTTGCCCTTTTCAATCATGTTTCCAAACTCTTAAACTGTGTTATATTAGAAAAAATGTACATGTAAGTGAAACACATGAATATCCAGTTGCTGCCTTGTAATTATACTTTATAGCAATGTTGTTATAGGACCCTTATTCTCCTAGACCACACACTTAAAATTATCGTTTGTCAATTTTTGACCAATATTTTCCCCTAAAGAAGCCATTTTTAAAAAGGAACATTGCATCTGGTTGAGGAGTAATAAAGGAATCGTAGTGACATGTCATCACATTTAAACAGGAGATATGGCTGGATTAAAAAAAAAAAGCTGTATCAAAACTTTTTGGAAGGGCACCCAGAATAGTCAGCAAATTTACAGGAAGGGAATCAAAAAATAGTTCATTAGCTTAATGCTAACATGCATAATGATTTTTGATTGAGTTGCAATCTAGCATTTCTCAAGAATTTTGTTCCACCCCATTCAAAGCAACGGACCTGTTGATGTTGCTTTAGGAGACCCCAGGATAAATTGCAATCCTCAGTGGAGACTATTTGGTGTATTTTCTTGGAAAAACAAATTAGTTGGACTAAGAAAACGAAAATGAGTAAAACATGGTCCTAGCCTGGTGAATAGATATTTTGCAGTTGAGAAATAGATATTTCTCTCATGTGTGATATTTGGAAAAGTTTAGTCATCTTCATAAAACTTTAAAAAGCAGCCTAAGCACACACAGCACGTTTGTCCTGTCTTCCTTTTCTACACCCTTACTTTTCTGTGTTCCTGTCAATCAGCCCGGCGCTCAGTTTCTATCATTTGTTCTTCCATCAATTTCGTGCATTCCCTTCTTTGGTCATCGGCTTCCCCAGAAGATCTTGAAGAAAGGGATTCAGGGTTTGGGACCCTCAAAGGGTTTCTCTGGCTGGTAGTATCCAGTTGTGTGCAGAGCCTGGTGTGAAGTTGGGGTCAAATGTAAGGGGCAATTCATCAACTGCACACTGATTTCAGGCTGCATTTCCAACCATCTGCAGCCTGGACGGGCGCCCGTCTCTCCAAGTCTCACTGGAGCCCAGCTGACTGTGCCACAGAGACAGCAAACACTTGAAAACCCAAGGACCGAGGCACAGCCAAGGAGACAGAGAAGCTTCTACAGGGCAAAGAATATTCGTAAAGATATGAATGTACAGGTCCTTCAAAAGCAAAACAAAACAACCCCTTAACACACTTCCTACACATGAAAATGTCGAAAATCTTGCAGAGGGAGGGAAGGAGTTTAGAATGTCCTTAGTACTTCCTGCCTCAGATTTGCATTGATAGCCAGAGTTGGTAACTTGCCAGTTTTAAAGCAGCCTTGAAAACTCCCAAGTTCTGTTTTCCTTTGAAAGGCTGAAACATACAAAACTGGTTTTCTAAAAATCTTCCAGCAGTAGAATTTTTAGGTACAACTCCAAATATTTTTTTCGCTTCAGGGGGGTAATATGATATCATGAAACTATGATAAATCTTGTTTGTCTCATTTTAGAATGCATAGAATTTTAATTGACTTTAAATTAGAGAAAAGTAGAAGCAAGGGGCCACCCTCCCTTTCTCCTTGTTTCCTCGTTCTCCTCCTGTATCTTTTGTATCCTTGGGATTGTTTTTTCTATAATGTAGGCATTGTTTTCACAACACTGTTAATGGCTACTTAAAAGGAATAGAAATGTAAAAAGTTCATGTTATTCTTCCAGAATAATTCCAAACTTAAAGGAAACTCATGTATATGTGATATTGTCTTTCAGGAGTATCTTTGTAAAGAATTTTTCTTTCATTTCCCCCCCTCAATTTGGAAAAGAATAACAATTATAACTCCAAATTATTCCCATGAAGTAATAAAGTCTATTAGAGGGTTGGAGCTAGGGGCGGTTTACAGAGAGGAGAGGCAGAAAGTGAGAAGATAGGATATAAGTTCATTCCAGGTCTTTCTGGCTCCAGGAATTCTGGAAAGCTTCATTTTTTGCACCAATATGATTTTTACACAAT